GCTTTGGAAGGGAAATTATTACTGTAGTTTAATGGCCCTTTCCTGGGATCCTGTTATGATTTTTACCTAATTACATTCATTCAGAGGCCTTCAATGGGGGGCTTGTTACTTCAGAGTAAACACTACTAATTAAGTTAGATTTTTCCTCTCTAGTTTGTGTCACTCATTTGTATTCACCTTATTTGTATTCACATGTCACCCATTGTTCTGTATTTGTCTTTGATTATCTAATCCTTTTTCACCTTGTAATTTGGACCTTTGTTGTATTTCGTAACCTCAATCATAATATTTCTGCTCTGTATATAAGTCAGTGTTTCTGTAAATCGCAACCATTGTAAATAGTTTTTTTAGTTTTTAACTTTTAACCTGAAGAAGGCCGAACGGCTGAAACGTAGTACATTAAACTCGTCCAGAACAGTCAAGAGTTGGTCTCTTCGCCACATCGTACACTAAACTACGTATACATATGCATATGCATATGCATATACATATACATATACATATACATATACATATATATGGATCTCTCCTCATGTCATAGGTCAGTTTCCTAAAGTTCCCCCATTACTGTCATAAGCACTCAAATAGGCCATTTTCAAGTTGCCTTTTGCCTCCGTGTGATTACAGTTTCATGATATTTCTTTCAGACGTGCATCTATTAACGTGTACATATCACACATGCTATTTTTAGAACTGCTGCACACCGCAAATGATCAACACTTATAGTAGTGCTCACATCTAGGTACATCCCAACTTACGATCTTAGATCATTGTTCATTGCGAGTTCAACTTACAGGTTGTCATCTGTCATTCAAATCTATTGAACCATTCGAACGCCACCAAAGTTGACCAAACATGCAAAGTAAGCACGTAAGCGCACTGCTCTAATCTTTGATCACTACTACACTGCCAAGGTATTGTTAACATATACTTCGTACTTTAATATAATATCTAAGTGTTTAAAAATGCTTACCATAGATATTAAATATTTTTGTAAAAAACTCCAACAATCGCAGCCTATTTAAAAAGATGCCTTGCTTTTACTCATTTAATAAACTCAGTTAAACAAGAAACAGAGTCCTTCTCAATAGTCATTTAAACAATTGGCTGAGTGAAATAGTCCTGAATAGGCCCTTTGCATGATCCAGTCACATGGTATAAAATCACACATACTGGGACGCAAGTTACACAGTGGGACTTCCAAAACAAAGGCAGCTCAAGGTGGACTGCTATGAGTTGCTTTGTTTTGGAAGTCGCACTGTGCAACTTGTGTCCCAGCATGTGTGATTTTGTACCATGTGACCGGATCGTGCAAAGGGCCTATTGAGCTGGCTGTGTCTAACAGTTGTATTTGTTTCAGACTTAAAAACTTAGCTTTAAAAGCTTAGCTTTAAAACTCAACTTTAGAGAGTCTTTGCAGTAGCATTAAGAGCAAAATAGACAACTCTTGATTTTTGTGACTACTATAATCAACATCCAGTAGTACAATCACTGAGCTGAAGTATCACACTGCACTGTTTGTAACAAGAGTTGACTGTTTTGTAATAGTGTTGTGTTTTGAACGCTCTTTACAGCTCTCCAGCATACAAGCGTTAAGATTGACGAATCAGGCTGGGCATGGCTTGTTACTGGAAGAATGCTCTTCATTTGGCGCTTTATGTCAGCAGCTGGAACAAAGGTTTGTGAAAAGATGAATTAAAGAAAAACTAGTACATACCTCTTACTAAACAAGTTCAAGGGCCGTACTGTAAGTTACGGACCAAGTTTTTCCCCATCAATTTATGGCCCAAGTGTGAAACATGCGGGCCATAAATCGCAGGGAAAACAAGGATCTGTAACTTACAGTACGGACCAAGAAGACGAGGTTAGTAAGATATTTATTATATCTCTACTGTGTGTCTGATGGGCTCGGGAATGATTTCATGCGGAACGGCTTCGAATTTATGACACACAAAAGCAAAATGACTCAAGTTGCTGGTAGGTTTTAATAAACAAGTGTAGAAGTAAAAGACAGTTTTAAACTTTTACTTGCTAAAAAAGTTAAGAACACTTGGCGATAAATCACAGAACATTTTGGCAACAAAAACAGCTTTAAATTTTAGCGGCTCGTTCAGGAGAATACAGCCTGCTAAATTGACCAATCACAGCGGGTGTACTAACTGAAAGATATAATAAAATTCATTATTTTTATATTCCTGCTGAAGATCAAGGAGCTATTTTAAACTTTGCAGTGCTATCATCGTGTACTTAATAATTATCTCATTCAAATCTCAAACAAAAGGCATGCAAAATGTCGTCTAATTTCTTTTAATTAGTTAATATCTCAACATATAGTTGTTGGAGAATAATCTACTATATCTCATTTAAAAAAGAATAAAAATTACTTTTAGAAAATATAAAAGTTTACCTTCATAGAAGCTAGTAGCATTTTTAAACAAAATTTAAATGAACTAAGTTTAGCAAAAAAAGGGGAAAAAATGTTGGAAAAGCAAAAAAAAAAAACCCTGACCTGTATCTCCACTCTCCTGGTCGAATTTGATGACGAGAAAAATCATTTTCCTCAATCAATGAGCAAACACATCCTGAACAAAGAGCAGAAATCCATCAAAACTGGAATTTACTAAGATTTTAACAGAGGAAATGTAAACATGTAAACATAAACAGAGAAATAACATTTTGTTACCATGGCGACCACCAACAGATCGCTAACTTAGATTAACATGTTCTTATTAAAAATCTATTGTCTTGACAAAACAAAGCTTTTTTCCAAAGTTTCTGAGCTTTACGCTCCCAAAAACGATTCAATACACGTAATTGAATAATTAATCAAGATTCTAAGCATAAAAAGGCCCCAGCCTGGGCTACCTTGTGTCACTTGTTTAGTGTGAAGAAATCCACTGGCAAACCAAACAACTGTAATGCGAGCGTAACACTAGATCAATTAGATAAGATTCATTTTCACTCCTGTTAATCTTTCAACTAAAATTTGATCTGCCTCGATCTGGCCAGATTCGACCCTTATTGTCAATTAATTTTTGTAATTTATACAAGCCTGTTTGCCTACTTTCAGAAAGTGTGCATTATATGATAGTTTTTAATCTGGTCATTGTGATCCATAGATTTTTTTTGTTATGGTACTGTTACAATTAATAGGTTTTTGGGACCTCAGTATTTACAACAATTTTTCAAAAGGGTAAATCCTAAAACAGATTGTCACACAGTTTAGAATACAATACAATACAATTTCTTCCATTTCAGGACCTTTTACATGGCTCTGTATTTAAGACAATTGTAAGCTTAAAAGTTGTTTGTTGCTTTATGTTATGGATTGAAATGATACTCATATCATGGGAATCGGAAACCAGTCAGCGAAAATAAGTTTCAGGTAATCTGCATATTGCTTCAAAGTTTTAGACTATGCTCTCATGCCAGCCTAGAGGCTACTCTCATGCTAAAAATAAAATGTAAAGTAAACACAATGCAAGCATTACACTTCCAGTAGCATTACGAATGCAATTTGATCTGGGCTGATCTGACCCATTGTGGTATGTATACTGGGAGATATTGATCATAGACCTAACAATTAATTTTTGTGAGTTGTACCTCTTTGCTTAATCACAGTAAATGCTCCTTAGAGGTTAGTTTTTATCCACTCATTGTCATCTTTAGATTTCTCTGTGAGACTGAAACCTGTCACTTCAATGATTTTAGTTTGTTATTTTTTGTCACATTTGATTTCAATGCCAGTGAGTTGCATGAACAGAGGGCTTGGACACTAAAAAAATAAAATGCTTAAGGTTACTGTAGACCTTCAGGGGTGCCTTCCGGAAAATGCTTTCTTTACGTGCTGCTTTAAAGAAAACCATGGCAAACTATATATCAATGTAAAGCTAATAAACTGTAGAATCCGAAAATAACAATATATTTTGTTATTTTTGTTTTGATAGGCACACGCAAGCCTAAAAACGCAAAAGTGACTGTACTTGCTAAACTGAATTACCAGCCTTTGTGTTACCGCGGACATCCAAACTGACTGGACATTATCAATCAGGAGATGATGGGCTAACAAAGGGTGTGAGGCTTTTTCGATATTTCTATTGGTTGCTTAGAAAATCTCTTTCAAAGTTGGACAATAGAAAAATTTTCTGACTGCTGTTACTCAATGGGACATCACAGGAAAAATATTTTGATTTTCACAAAAGCCTCACACCCTTTGGTACGCTAATATCTGACGAACATTTTGGCCAAGTTTCATGGAAATCCGATAAATCTACATACCCTATTAATTCATTTGAAGAGAGGTAATTCACGCAAAAATAAACCTTAAGTTTTCGGCCTCGAAAGAAATTCACAGTTTTCGCCCCCTCTCTGAAGCGGTTGTTTACGTGGCCAAGCCGCCAACCAATGAAATGCAGCTTTGAACTCCCCAGCGGGCTACAATAATGCTTCCTAGGAATGAATGTGCAATGTTTACATTTACAGTATATCTTTATATCTTACATTGTCTGCCGTGAAACATTCAGCATCTAAATGGAATCAGCAGATAAATGGTAAAGAAGGAAAAGGGAAAAAAAGGAATGCTAGCGGAATAGCCTTGAACAGGCCTACTCAGTGAGCCAAGTCGAGTGTGGATTTTTACACATTTATGAAAAAAACTAAACATGCCATTCATCGGCCTGTTTATTTTAGTAGAACATGGAAAAACACTCTATAAAGCTGGGGAAAGGAGCGTTTGGAGAAGCTGCCTTGTCAGATGTCAGCAATTAAATTCGTTGGTAATTCCACGGCAATCAACTTTTGTGCCAGAAGAAGCTAGAGCAGGGCATCAATGAACATGCGCTTGTGATTTGCGCTTGCATTTAGATGTGGAAATGCGAACTGCCTAGTCTATCACTTACGAGATGAAAACAATCAACAAAAGCAAAGATTTCTCTGCGAGAAACTGCAAGACGTAAACAAAAGAAGCGAAATACGACTCTGTGGATGAGATCAGTTGACGCGAAAATTGTTACTGCTGAACTCAAAGGTTGCAACATTTTAATTGGCTTATCACAGTTTGCGGTTCATTGACTTGTTTTAAGAATGTACGTTTTTGTGGATAACGCGTTCGTGTTTTAAGTTTTTGAAATAATTTTTTTTGGAAAATTCAGATAAAGTTAGGTCTTGAATTTGGTGTAAAAAAATAATTTTGGACAAAATAGGCCCTTGAAGGTCTACAGTAACCTTAAAACAGCCTGTCACAAATAGCTGCAAATACTTGAGACTCCAAGGTCTACCTCCCAGTTCTCGTAAAAAGAAAATAAAAAATAGTGTCTTGAATCTGTACAGCATGGTTGAAACTTGTTTTCCAAAATCAATAGCAGCAAACATGGTCAATTTATCATCAGTCTTATACCTGTCTTTCATAACCAAAATTGATTAACCCGTAAGTTGCCTGAACCATATCTATCTACCTATCTCTCTTCTTCACAAGAATCTTACATCAGGAACACAAAGAATGGTTATGCAGGAATGTCTTGCACAGGAATATACCAAACTCACAAGTGAACATAACCTCATGTCCACGTAACCAAAGTCAAATTGGGAGCTAACCACAAAATTACTTTCTTATTTACTTTAAATACTGTTAGGATTGTTGTCAGGTCTTAAAAGACATATTCAGGATCTTTGCAAATTGCTCTTTCGAAACAAAAGCCAGCCATTGTGACTTGAAATGGTAAGATTTCAAAAAATTGTCGTGTGGGTCACATCAAGGTATGCCATGCAAAACTAGCTGTGTGAGTTCAGACGACTGGGATGAGATAATTATATAATTATTAAGGCATTTTAGAAAAAATACAGGCTTGTTCATCAAACACAATGTCAAGGTGGTGCACAAGACTGCCTGTGTTGTTGATAATTTAGTGATTAATAGTTAACTGTTATTAGAACTCTCCGTGGTGTTACAGTTTTTTTCTCACATTTTTATACATTTTAATTTCTTTGTCAATAATCTGCAGATTTTCTTTGTTAGGGGACATTATGCAAGGAGCTGATGTTGCCAGCTTCTGAGTTATACCATACAGCTGATCTTGTCTGTGTTATGAGCCCTGGTGATGATGAGAGCAGTGATATGTCTGGTGTGTCAGTTATGACAGTGTCTCCAGAAGGAGTGGTACGATACTGGCCTAGTCTTATTCATGGGAGCAGCACAATTGACATGGACACAGATTTAATAGGATCACAGTGTCATTCATTAACAGCTTTTCAGGTATAATTCATGTACAACAATCTTACACAAACCATTTCAAAATGTAATTCAAAGTGAAATGTGAGTTGGAGTCTATGTTGATAGCACTCCTGGCTCTGCATTGACCCTTATATTTTTATATCCGAGTCATCCTTAGAAGTTCTCTTTGTTGTGAGTTAGACTAATTGGACAAACAGACCATACTGTCGTAAAAGAATTTTTGTATGTGTAAAAGCGGTAACATGCCTACTGTAATTAGATTCACCAGAACTGGTATATTGTCTACCAGTTACATGTATATTGACAAGCCACATAACCTTTAATAATGTACTGTTTTTACATGTGAGCATGAAGCATTTTGAAAGCTGCGTTTTAGAAGTTGATACTTGTGAATGACAATATTTATAGTCTAATTTCAGTGTATTCCAATGCTAAATGATTATAGCAGTTGACCTCAAATTACTGTTAGTCTGTAAGAGAAAATTTAAACAGGTTTCTGTAACTATTAACCATGAGGTTAAATTTCAAGATATCTAGGGCTAATTAGAGTGTGAAAACAGCAACTAGTATGTTATTAGGACCAAGAGGGCACTTAAATGGTGAACCTTCTCAATATCTTTTGAAATGAGGGACTTTCTAGCAGCAGTGATAACCTCCAGGAGAGTTTTCCTGTTAGGTGTACTGTTTACATGTATGGAGCCATTGCATTGAAACAACTTAGAAATCATGTGTGATTTGCCCACAAAATGAACTTGTTAAAATGCATGGTTACCAGTGATCTTAATTAATGGAACAATTTCAAGGATGCATGTTGTTTTATATTGTGTTTCCCAGTGATTATTTTATACTGAAGAAGAACATGGTTTCAAAGACAATTCATAGGGAAAAACAACAAGTATAAATGAACATGTATTCTTTCTGTGGTATTCAACATTCATTCCATGATTAGGAGAGAAAGGAAATTAAAAAGTAATAATAATAAATTAAAATGTCATGGTTGCCAGACTGGTGACCAAACGTGAAAAGTTCACTATTGAATCAAAGCCAGTCGCAAACTGGTGACCCCAACGGTTGCAACATCACGCTCTTCATGAGCAAGGGTTTCATGCTCAAAAAGTGTTAAAAAAGTTTAGTCTCGCAAAATATGCTTCTTCCATTTTTGGCAAAATAAGTGACCACCAAAATTAGTACCAATTAGGTGAAGTATGCACCATCTGAGATTGCCTGTCTGACTAAATGTAGTTGTACTTTTTGATGGGTGCTTTATAGGTTGGTTAAAACAAACTCTTTTCTAGAAAAAAATGTTAAGACCAAATACCTTTAGTTTATAAATGTGAATGTCAACTGTGTCTCTGTCTTAATCAGAATCAAGTAGCTCCATCTGTGTGGAAGATTCACGATGAATTAGTGACCCTATAAAGCTCAAATACTCTGCATAAGCTGTGCAGTGTTGTTGTTGGGGTGCAGTGCTGATTGAAGGGTAGTGTTATTAGTATGTTTGCTCCTGTAAGAGGCACTTATTCAGGGGCAGCAGTTTAAACAAGTGAAGCTTCTTCAGGTTGATACATTAATGGGTTACACTTACTTTTGCCTTTCATCCAGAAACACGGAGAAAAAAACAGGAATTTAGCATGCATGTTAAGGAAATAATGTGCTCTGATTCCCCTGCAAATGGCTCTCACTTCAAGTGATGTAAATTGTCCACTAAAATAACACAAAATATATTTTTTTAGCCATTTGGATGTATCTTGATGACAACCACCAATGAGCTTTTGCTGCTGACTGGTTCACAGGTTAGGAGATTTCTTACCTTTTAGACGTAGAACTCTGAAGCCACATTCATACAAAAATTTCAGTATATGAAAGACTGACAATAACATGGTAAAATTATGATGACAAAACACAGGACTTGCCTCAGGCCTGGTTTATAACGGAAAAGTCACTCTCTGCCTTTTCTAAGTCATATGCATACAGGGTTTGTTTTGTTGTTGTGTCTATAGTCTTCAGTGCACTGTCACTTATTTTTATATGTACATGTATTCTATACAAAAGGAATCTTTTCACCATGTTTTTTTTATTTCACTCTTGCACATCATAGCAAATTAGGGTACTTTTGCCCTTGTATATCAATATTATCTGGCTAATTTAAATTGTCAACTAGCTTTTGGTTACCTTCTCTTCTTTGCTTTAGAAGGCCATCAGGTGTCAGAACCTTAATGCATCAAACAGTGTTTTTACAGAGCTTGGTCGACGTGTGACATCTTTCATATTTGGTTCTCAGCAAGCGAGTCAGGAAGCTACTGTAAGTTAATTATCAGATGGCTTTTGTGTAGAACATTAATGAAACAAGGAATTAATTTCATGTACATTTTTTAAGAAAACCTGCACTGTCAAATGTATAATCAGGAGTTTTGCTATTACTTTTGTTTTATACTGTACAATTCTGAAAGTAATTATAGTCCCTCCAAAGAAACTCTTCCCTTGATAAGAATAAGAAAGTTTTACAAACTGTGTGAAAAAAATTGTGAATGAGGCATAATGAACTTGTATTCCGCAATCTTTTATGAACTATTTTAGATGAGTTTCTTAAATTTGTGGGATCATGTGTACTTAAGGCATCTGTTGGCCAAGTATCAGTCGATACTATTGGCTGATATGTCGACCAACACTCGGGTGACATATCGACTGATACTCGGCCAATATGTCGACCAATACTCGGCCACCATATCAACTGATATTGACCAACACGCATGTCGGCCAGCACTCAGCCGATACTTCACTGACACTCGGCCGACACTTGGCTGATACTTCACCTACACTTGGCCAACCTACGCTTAGTTGGTCGGCTCTTGTTACTGACTTCTTTCTTCTCCAGTCAAATATTAAATAATCTTCTCTAGCCCTTTGAGAGGGTCTTTCGGCAGGCCTCGTCCATTTTTGATTTTTCTTACTAGCAACATTCATCTATCTCAAAGACTTTTTTCCAGCTATGCTTCTTGAGACCTTAAGTTGCATTAGATATGTATTCGAAATGACAACAGTTTGAGCTGTATCCTCACTCTATCAGCATACGAGCATAGATGATAGAGATTCTTAGGCCTATTCCAAATGTCGTGCTACTGCCATGCCAAACTAAATTCAAGAATAAATTCTACTTAAGCAAGGCAATAGCACAACATTTGAAACCACTCAGTTCGGCAGGCTGAATTAAGTTCAGCATGACTACTTAGCTAGGCAGGCCTTGCTGTGCTGCATGGCAGTAGCACAACTTGGCTTCAAACAACATGCTTCTGCCGTGCTGAACTGAATTCATAACCTGCTGCATCAGCTGCTGTCGCTCTCTAGCATTTAAAATAATCTTCAGCAAAGCAAAGCACATTTTTTTCAATCTTTGGCGCGACTGAATTAAATTCAATGTTTGAAACCACTGCAGTTTTTTTTGTCATATGCCACTCCCAGGCCAAATTCATTTGACTTTCGCACAGTAGTAGTAGGATGTTTGGACTTGGTCTTAGTTCGTGATGCTTGTACTGTGCACAGTGTATCACTGAAGGGTATGAATTCATTTGTATGTTCAAGGGTTAACTATTAGTAAATTGTAAATTACTTTAAGTATCACGTAATTAAATTTGATTCATGCAGAATTGGCAGCGAGTCCTTGCCAGTGACATCATGGCTGATAAGTCAAGGTAATGTTAAATGCGTGTAGCTATGTTACTGCATGTATAAAGTCTTTTACTCCTGATTGTTTCTTCATGTACTCTTGCAAACATAAGTTTGTTAGAGCACATGCAGTTTTCAAGCGAAAAGAAAAACTATATGAGAAAAACTGACCAAACCACACCATTATTTTCTTTCCCCCCCTCCCCCCAAGCTAGAATGGGTAAAGAAAGGATAGTTTCTTGTGGAGTACTACTTGGAAATCAGAGCTATAAATCAAAACTGCTTTTGATGCAAGCTTGTTGGTAAACATGCATCAAACGATCTGATAACAAGACTTTCAAGCAAATTTGTCCTTTATGGAAAAATATTCTAAGAAGGCTGAAACTGTAAATTAAGATCAATGGAAGTAGGGATGGCCAGTATTTAGAAGTAAAAAACTCTCAATTTTCTTTTGCAGGTATTCTTAAGGGTCATTTTTTTCCATTTTGAGCTCAATTTGTTGTTATCATTAAATTTTTGAGCTAAAAATATGGCCTCTCTATCTTCATAGTGGGCTACTTCCATGGACATTTGAAAGTTCTTCAGAGATAACAAAAGAATTCGACCAAACCCCCCCTCCCCCCTCCCCCCTCCCCAAAAACCTTAAAAAAAGAAATGCAATTGTCCTAATCCTGTTTTGGTTGTTTGGAGTATAGAAGAGAAATGAATAATAAGTAATATTCAGTACTGCAGTCTGTGTAACCTGGAATAATAATAATAATGTTCTAAGTACATGTATGTGTCAAGGACTTAAGAGTACTAAAATTATATTTGACAGGGAACTGTTTGTACTGAGTGGAAATCAGCTGTTCATATGGCAGGTTTTTCGAACGGGACCAGGCAGTGTTCATGAAAAGGTATATGTAGTCAATGTGCAAAGAAAGCTGTGTCTGATTACCCAGGGCTAATGGATTTTGCAGTCAGGATAGAGGATTTTGTCCCTGTAGGAAATTCAAATCACAGTTTACTTTTAGAGATGAAATTTAGGGGGTCTAGTATTCACTTTAGGGCTTTAGGGACCCAACCAAATTTCCTTAGCCACAGTGTTAGAAAATTATTAGCACTCCCCCATTTGCCAAATGCAAGTGTGAAAAGGGTTGTGCAAGTACAAATCAATCACTTCACCATTTGGTGAGTGAGATTTTCATTTTTGGGAAATTAAGCTTAAAAATAAATTGATAACTCTCCTTTTTATTTTCCACTTTGGCAAGAATATCTCAAAGCAAAAAGTGGCAGTGTCTTTTTTTCCATATTTGTTCTTTCGAAATACCCAACTAATTTGCCAGTAAAACATAACTTAAGCCATGGCCAAATGATTGCAAAATTTCAATGCAACATATTGCAACATTGTTGGGGGCAACAGGTTGTGCTCATTTGGCCATCCTTTTGCCATGTGCTGTGACATGTTGGGTGTTGTTGGCTCAAATTTGACCATCTTCAAACTTGAGCCAAAAACACCCAACATGTTGCAACAGGGTGGCCAAACGCGCATAGCATGCTACACTCCAACAATGTTGCGTTGAAATGCTGAGATCATCTGGCCGGAGCTTTAGTGTTAAGTGGACAAAATGAACTACAACTTCCTTAGCTGCCGTGAGAATTAATGTAACGGTTACACATGTATGAAGTGATACTGCTGGTTTCTAGTTGAGCCGGCAGTAATTAGTGTGTGAGAATTGAAGAAATCATGGGAGAGACCAGGATGTTTGCTTGCTAAGAAATGAATCTCACATGGAGATTCACCCTAGAAACTGTTTTGAAGAATAACAAAAGTGCCTCAGTTGTAGTTATTTTTGGGTGTAAGGTCTTTTGGTGTAATTTTTTAATGAAGGAAAAAACATCAGTCTTCCACGTGGGGATGAGTTGTTTACTCCAATGTCTCGATTCTAGGGATATGTGCAAATTCAGTAGTACCACTGTCCATTAGCTCTTTTTCAGTTAAAACTGAGGAAATGTGGAAATATTTCTAAGGAGGGCCAATAGTTGATGAAATTAATAAGGATAAAACTGTAAAATTGGTCTGCGATCCTAAGAGGCATCTTGTAAATGGACCAGAACAAGAAAGCTCGACACAAAATGCTAAGCTGGGCGTCTGTGATCAGGAGCTGTAGGAAAAAACGCATGGTTTGCGAATCACCACGGAGAATTTTGGGGGGGAAGGGAGGAATCTTTCTGGGTGTGTCAAATGTTACTGGGTGTGTGGATTTTGAGAGTCACTTGCCCGAATGGTGAGTGCTGTCAAAATTTCCAACATTGCACAGCCTGCAGGTTGTACAAGTTGTAATTACTTATTGAGCCTTGCTAAGCCCTCAGCTTGAATTTTCTTGACTGTAGCTCTATAAATAACTGTACAAAGTTCCCTTTGAACATGAGATACTGTAGAAATGTATACATGTATTTGGTGTCGCAAATCCATAAGGGATTGCCTGTCAATCAAAGAATTCATTTGTCATTGTTATGAGGAAATTTTTTTTCTTAATTGCTGTATATAATGATTCTTTCGTTTGTTTTGCTGCAAGCATTGTCAGTAACTGGGTGCCTCAAATGTGCTGCTTTTAGCATGGTTGCTTTGCCAAGCCTGCTGTTGAATCCACTGTTTCTATATTTAATTTGATATTGTTTGCTTTGAAGTTTGTTTGGGTATAAGACATACATCCATTATTTGTCCGAGGTGCTTTGCAAAATTATCCCTAAAACCACAATTTTACTCTAAGAAAACTAGCAAAATACCTAAAAAACTAGAATTTATATTATGTTCAGCAGGTTAGTAATGACTACTAACAGTAATCCAAAATTTCAAAATCATGTAGGATTTGGTAAAATTTTGAAATCTTACATTATTTTCCTTTCATTGCACCAAAAAAAGAGATGAGTACTTTCACAAATGTAACTCTTCCAAATTAATTGTTAAATTTGTTTTGCAGCTTGTCTTCCAGCTAAGATTGGATAATTTGTTCATTTCAGCTGCTGTTAACACACCACAGGTAAGTGTTGTTGGCTGTGCTCTGGAGTCTCTGGAGTCTCTCTGTAGCTTAGATAAAGCCCCTGCTTTTTGTTTGGGAGGTGATATTTCCATTGCCATTGGGAAGTCCCATGTTTCTCTCTCCCACTCCTGTGATCTGATGAACATCACATCTTTCCTATAATCAAGATGGTGTCATAAATTTGATTGCTTGTGAATGTCAAAGTTTATATCAGGAAAATAAGGAGATTCGTGTAAGAAGTGATTAGAGAACACAACAGACATAAAGCTTGTTCATGTCCAAAACTTCATGGTTTTGAAGTACCCCAATAAGGCTGGGCACCTTCCCAATAAGGCTGGGTAATATTAGGCTGGGGGCCTTTCCAACAAGGCTGGGCAAAATTAGGTGCAACCCTCACTAGTAAACCTAGGCTAAAGAGGCTATTCACATAAGATGTCAAGCGAGCAACATCCACGGTGGTAGTGAAATAAAAACTCTTGAAGCAGGGATGATTACAATCGATAAGCACATATAACAGCAGATTGGTAGCATAACAGACATATCTAGGGGAATATCATCCAATCAGAATAATCATGAAGGCATAAACTGGCAGCAAACCAACATGCTGCATACATAACAACAGATAAACAATTTACCTCAACCCCTGATGAAGTCCACTAGTATTGCAGTTAAAACATAGCAGTCATCACTTCAAGATGACTCCATCATGAGATAAACAAAAAATGTTTATCTTTCTTTCAAGCCCACATTTTTTCATGACAATTCTTTTTTTTAGCTCGAGGCACAGTCAGCTGATGACATCATGGTATGGTGTCTAGACATGGCTCAGTTAAGGTGTGGTTCCACAATTTACAAAATTATTGTATGTTGTATGGTCATATGAGAGCATGGAAAGTGACATAAGGAAGCCTTTAAAGTGCTTTTAATTCCCACAAAATTGTTGGATTTTGTTTGTTGAGTTTTTTGAGCAAATGTTTTGATGCGTCTACATTTTCATACCATTAACAAGCTGTGCTCTAGGAAAAATTCTAGGGAACCCTTTGGGCACCCAACATTCTAGACCAGGGTGTCCAGAGGTCAAGCTTGTTGGCCTGAATGAAATTGAAAAAAAACAAAACAAAACAAAACTTAATTAAGTGATTAACTGTTTAAAATTATTTAATAACATTACTAATTCATATATAATAACCAATTGACCCTCAAATAAAAATTTATTGCATTGTTTCTAGGGAATTTATCCTATTTACAGATGCCAAACATGAAAGGGTTTCATGTAATTTTTACTAACATTGTTGTCAAAAGTCCACAAAGAAAGACAAAATTTACATGTTTTTTAGTTAAAATTGTTGATATATGGAGAAAAATTAAGTCCTCTTTCCCTACATGCCTCTGATAATTTAGTTCACATTCTCCTTCAACTAGGGACTTTTCATTCACATTATTCAAACCTCAAGAACTAAGAAGACTTTTTGTTGACACTACACAAAGTGCTGTCTGCATCACTGCAGGCCAGTGTTAAAAGTAGGCATCAAAGACGAACTAAGCCATTTTTTTTTTACTTCACAGATGGATTTAAACATTCTGAATTAAGCCATTTTGCATTGTAAACATCAATACAACACAAGATATCAAAAAGGGAAAGACAAATTATTGTGAGACTGTTTTTCATCTCTAAGTTAAAGCTCAGCCAGCCAGGCAACTTGGTTTGTTTTTCTTGTCTTCCGAAGATGGAAGCTGGTCACCTAAATAATAATAATAACAACAACAACAACAACAACAACAATAATAATAATAATAATAATAATAATATAATAAATATAATAAACTAATATTTTAAGGGGAGGCCTCCAATCCCCTAGAGGTGGTTTTCAGGAGGGTCCTCTAAAAAATTAAAGTCTAGAATATTCATTAAATGTTTAAAATACAAAAGTAATAAAAGCTAAAAATGTGATACTTAAACTCAGGTTTAAAACTAGAACTAGGATTAAACATCTACTGCTAACTAAGGTTAAAAATGGTTAAGTAAAAACTGTTTCAGTTTGTATTTAAAAAATCCTCTTTGGTATAAGTTTTTTCAGCTCACTTGGCAGTGAGACCCAATCGGTTATTGCTTTATAATACGTTTTGTTTCTGCACCATTCCGTTCTTGGCTTGCTAGTTTTGGGCATGCAACCATTTCGGGCATTGTAACGGTGTTGTTGCCTCATGGTAGTTCTGAACACATCAAAATTTTTCAGTGATCTCTCCTTTCATTGCGTCGTGCACAAGACAACACCGATGACCAAGACACCTTGCATACAATGGGACCCACCCCAACGATGTTGGGACCTCAGCTGATGTTACTTTTCCCTTTACAATCTTGTTTGCAATGCGACTTTGAAATTGTTGCAATTGTTTCATCTGTGTTGTTAGACCAGGCAGATCTCCCCAAACAATTTTCTGCATAATCTAGGTGTGGTAGGACAAGGCCATTAAAGTATGCTGTGAGACTTTTCTTGTCAAACATATGATAGATTCGGTTGAACACTGAGAGGCGATGTCCCAGTTTTTGTTAAAGCCTGTTGACTTGAATCTTCCATTTCCATTTCTCATCCAGTACTACTCCTAGGTACTTAAAAGATGAAACACAATTCACTTGCTCTTTATTACTTGGGCGTATCCCAAAGGGAGCCCAAGTTTAAAGTTATGCTTCATTTTTGTTTCCGTTCAGTCACAAATCGCCGTCTGGTCTCTAAGGCGCATGCGTCACCTGTGCATGCATACAGCACGTGGAATTCACAGAAGTTGTTGNTGATGAAGTCTGTATGATCAGACGAAACCGGTCGGAGAAAATAAAGCAAGTTGACAAGATCTGTTGCTGAAGTGCTGCTCACTAGTATTATTTTAAAAATAAAAAATAAAAAATAAAAAATAAAAAAAAAATTAAAAAAATAGGTGTAATGGTAGAAAAAGACAATGGCTTTGTTGTGGTACAAAATGAAAAATGATCAAAATGAGATTCTAGCTCCAGATATAGAGTTGTGAGTAATATTATAATAGTTGTTTAATGTCAAGCAATGACAGAACATGCAGAAAAGGTTTGGCTATATTACCTAACAACAAGCTTGGTATGGCTTCATTCCAAATGATCACAAAAAAATTAAAGTATGGAGAGAAAGGAAGTACCTCGTCTAAGTAAAAAAAATAAATAGTTTTAGGATGTGTTATGAATCCACAGGAGAGAATATACCACCACACCCTGTATAATTTGCTCTGTTTTTTTTTTTAAAAAAAAAAAAAACAAGCAATAGGAAGATGTAATAAAGCAAGTATACATTACTAAAGAAGCCTTCTTTGCCTCTACAGACACTTTTGAGTCTTAGTAAGTTGGCTCTTTTAGCATCAGATGAAAACAATGGAGCAGAACTGGAAGGTACATTAGCTTGAAAGGCAATGATTAATGAACAACAATATAACCATTGCATGTAAATTGAAACAATCAGTGTAAAGCCAGTGCTAATTGTTCAGACATTCACATTCCTCATATACTCATTACTCAAAACATACTCTTACTCTTTTCATTTGAAATACACAGCAAAACTACTTCCAAACCCATTAATAATTCATCAAGTTTAAACAAAGAAAATCATGACCGCGACATTGTTTGGATATCTGATCTTAATCAGCATAGATTTTTACGATTTTATTTCTCCATATTCTCCTTAGTTTTAGTTTCGATTGAGAAGATATATCAAACACTCAAGACAGTGTTTGACCACATTTCCAAACACCTCGAAGTTCATCAAAAACACTCCGCTGAGCGTCGTATTTTCAACTCTCTTCTCGGTGTTTGGAAATGTGGTCAAACACAGTCTTTCATGTTTGATATATTACATCTCACATCCTTCCATAACTGAAATTAAACAACAGCACTTAATTTTATGGATTTCTGGTAGTCTATTATGATACTGTAATAAAAAAATCAATAACTTTGTGGCAATTCCACAAATTAGGAAATTTTGTCAATGGAAACATTGACAGTCGAAATTTGCTGTATTTTCAATGATGTTTAGTAAATGCAACTTTTGGCAGAAAAAAAGGTTCTGGGTTATCTCCCAAGCTGTGGGCCACAGAAACTTAACCATTGTAAATACTTCCAGGTATAGCAAACACTAGTTTTAACCCTGTGATTGCCTGTGGATGTTTCTTTAAAATGGCTTTGATATTTATGATAACAACAAATACAGCTCTGTCGTCGTTTCAATGAAAGCAAGAAACATTTTTTGAAAGGATCTTGAGATCTGAATTTGTTACAAAAATTACCAAAGCGTGAAAGACATTGTCAGTTATATATTGTTAAGAGGCCCTGACTGGGAATATGTAGAATATCTGACCAGGATTAAAAAATCGAAAGTCCTGATACTTTGTCTGAAGATTGCTTTTAGGGAATTATAGTCAGCTTCAAAAATACCATGGTCAGTTTCTAAAAATATAAAGATTTCAAGACATGCACGAAAATGGAAATGATGAGTTTTGCCTCATTAATTATGGATAAACTAATATGAAAATTGGCCAAATTCCACTTGCTTCCATCATACACTTTGCAACACTAGGTAAAACAATTACCTCTGAAAAATGTAACTCTTCTACCTCTGTACCATGGTCACTGTTAAAAGTTCTTCAGTTGTTACAAGAGTTTCAGCATCCTTTCAAGAAGTGTTATCTCAAGCTTTAAAGAGCTTTACCTGAAAGTTAAAAAACTGACCACAGTCTTTTAAAATTCACAATGTGTTACCACAATCAGCAGAGATTTAATCCACTTAAGTGGCATGCTAGGAATGCATGGAAAGTCTTGGGCTAGGTTACTGAGTTCTGAGTGAAAGCATGGACAATGGCCGTTATTCAAGCTTGCTGTTTCTCTGCGAAGGCCTCTTCGTCCTGCCTTGACTGTGTAGACTAGCAGCAACAGGTTTAGGGAGAGGGAATAACGGAAGCGTGTAGGTAACACTTCCCTTTTGCCTTTCCCATTGTTCGATGTGCACTTTCTCACTCCCATTTTCACCTCTTCATTCCCTATGGAGCCTCTGCAAAGAAGAGAGGTTTATCTCTTAAACTGGCAACCAGCGCTTGCATTAGCTGGCTGCTTCCAAGCCACCACCTACACAAACCAAACAAGCATTCAGTCAAGGGTCAACAAGTAGCTGACAATATGGGCCTTGTGGAATATCACGTTGAGCAGATCACAAAAGCACCACAACTGGTTCTGGGGGAGAAACGACAAGCCATACAAGGAATAATTGAAGAGTATATGTACATTTTCACTGGTATCATGGAACTAAAAAGGGTGACCATAAAGCTGCATGTAGAACCCAATGTTCCAGGAGCTATGCAAAAACTGAAAAGGAGGTCCCTTCTCCTGAAAGATAAGTTCAATAAGATTCTAGAGAGATGGCATGAAATGGATGTAATAAACTAAAAGGATGAAGGAAATGAACCTGCTGACTGGTTCAGCAACATGTATGGCCCTCACTTCCCAGGATGGGGAGTGTAACAGAGCCAGTGAACAGAAGCGAGCAATTACATCAAGAGCACATTGCATGCCACAACCACCATCCTGAAACTGGAGACCAGGCTTAATGGAGCCAAGTAATTCTCGTACCACAATATGAATGACGACTGTAACATGCAGCTGGAGCTAGCAGAAGAGAGCAGAGAGCTGACTACATTCTGTATGCACTGCAGGCTCAAGCATTTTAAGAGGCTTCATTTTGGAGAGAACAGTGTAGCTGAAATATTCTGTGAAGAAGTGTGTAAAGTTGTCTCTAGAACTCAATGCTATCGGCATCTATAATGACCTCTTGACCTTTGGAGCATCACCAAAAAAGCATGATCAGGCCTCAGACAAAAACAGCAACCCTGGTAGACACACGGATTGACCCTCAGTATCAAGAAAAGTCAGTTCAACCCAGGATAAAACTTCTTTGGCAAAGTGTTCTCCACTGAGGAAATCTCTCCTGATCACATTAAGTTTGCAGAACTATAAGCAACAGGTCCACCTGAATCACAAGCAGAAGTGCCATCATTCTTGTTCTTCACTTGGGCAAATACTGACTTCATGAAAGGCTTTGCACAATTCATGGCACAGCCAAGAAGTCTACTCAAGAAAGTTGTTGAATTCCAGTGAATCCTAGAATTTCAGAAGTGAAAGTGAAAGCAGTGCTTATAGGAGGAATCACTGGTTTTTTGATCCTCAATGGCAGACCAAGGTTAAAGACACTGGGCCATTAGGCATAGCTGCCAGCATGAAGTAGTAGGACCCATTTGTGAAATGATGGAGACCAGTTGTGTACTGCTCAAAACCCCGCACCAACACTGAGACAAGATGGTAGCAGCTGAAGAAAGAAGCAAAGGCAGTAGGATGCAGTTTAGTAGTGTTTCCTGATGAGATGTATTTGTATGCGCTCTTAGTTAATGTTTGAAATTGAAATTGACCACAAGCCACTGTTACCCTTGTTCACCTGCCCCAAAACAAATGCAATGCTGGTCTTAGGTTTAAAGACATATTTAGAGAAATGGGAAATGAAAACCTTAAAGGCTGCTTTCCACTAGAACACAAGCACATGCAGTAAGGTGCTGTTTAGGTAGCACGTTGCCAGTTTTAAACCTTATTTACTGGTCTTGCACATCGCCTGCAGAACTTGATAAAGTGCAACAGTTCTTTAACCAAGCACTTAAAGAAGAAATACCTCTACACAGCTTTTTAATTTCAACTTGCCTTTAAAACGTAATGACAAAATGTTTTTCAAAAATAAGGAAGCTCTCTAATCATCCACTGAAAGCATCCATGCCATTATTAAAAGAACCATTAGGAAGAATCAGTGGTAAAAATCACAGCCCCATTTAGCCCAGGGAGTGGGGCTTAAAGTACTCGTGCTGAATACATTATGTAAATAGCACCTTTGTATCATAGAGAACAGGCGCTATATTAATCTTGTATATTATATGGCAGCAGATGACCTTTGACCTTATGACCTTATGAAGGTGATAATATATAGATTTAGGCCAGCCTAAAAGCGTAGCTCCTGGGCTGGGTTGTTCAGAGCCCAATTAAGCTAACCCAGGAAAAAGTAGAATTTTGATTTGTTTTGTAACTTTGTGGTGAGGTTTTCTGTATATTGTTTGGCCTTCTGTTTTGAGTTTTAATAATCACCATATACACAAAACAAAGCAGCAAAAAACATTTGTGTAGAAGGAAAAGTTATACTTCGGTTAACTTTTAATCCTGGGTTAGCGTTAACCAGCTTCCAGACATTCCTGCGCTGTTTTCAACAAGTTAACCTGACATGAGCCCGCGATCCAATCGAAAAACCAGCGCTTGGTCAGTGGTCAACTTCAAAAAACACGTGACCTCATTAAGCTTTAAACTTGAGCCTACGATAAAGGTCACGTGATACTGGTCAGCAAATACCTTGATTTGACAGGTGTCAATGGACCATTAAATAGATGTTACGGTTTACGCTGGAAACCAAAGATGCCTGTCTCGGTTACCCTATTAGCGGGAGCTTGGCTGCCATGTTGCGCGACGTCATCGACGTCGTGCTTACGCACCCATGAGCAATACCGTTAGCCAAAATGACCATGAGAAAAGCGATTCATGGGTTCCTGTGTGTATGGTGCTCTGCTTGGCGACCCTTCGGGCCGCCGCAGCTCCGCTAATAATAATAGATCTCTTTACCGATACGGTGGCCATTTTCAATTTTTCAAAAAACATTTGTGTAGAAGGAAAAGTTATACTTCGGTTAACTTTTATTCCTGGGTTAGCGTTAACCAGCTTCCGAACATTCCTACCCTGTTTTCAACAAGTTCACCTGACATGAGCCCGCGATCCAATCGAAAAACCAGCACTTGGTCAGCAGTCAACTTCAAAAAAACATTTGACTTCGATGAGTTGTTAACTTGAGCCCGCGATATGGACACGTGATACTGGTCAGCGGATACCTCGTTTTGACAGGTGTCACTTGATTATAACATGGATGTCCAATATCAAGGAAGTACATGGTAAACCAAGGCTGCACGTCTCTGTCACCCTATTATTTGGAGTATGGCTGACATGTTGGGCAATTCCACCGCCGTCGTCATCGTGCGTACGCGCTCACGAGCAATACCGCTAGCCATGAAAACCATGAGAAAATCCATTGCTGGGTTTCCTTTTCTTTCCCATATGAGTATGGGACTCTGCTTGGCGGCCCTGTGGGCCGCCGGAGCTCTGCTATTATTGCCAGTTAACCTGTAACATAAATTTGGTGACAAATGCCATACTGTGAAACACAACCCTTTTTGGACAGAAAAAGAGCTAAACTTAATTTTAAAAAAAAGGAATCGATCTTCACCTACACAGTTTTGAGCTTCTTCATCCTTCTTGTTTACTGAGCCTCTAATTTAAAGTTTCCTGGCATACCAATAAATGCTTTTGTAGCAACGTCCCACAAAATTGTGTTCTCTGTTTTACAATTAAATATTTTTATTGCTATTTAAACTTGGCTGGTCAGCACAATTATCTCAATAGGTGACATAACGTGAAACATCGTTGATTGTGTAGCTCAGTTATTAGAATATTACTTCACTTGATTTATGTGTGCTCAGTATCTAGTGAAAAGTCATCCTTGGTACAGTATTACTGCATGATGATGATAGTGTTTTGTAATCACGAGAGATGTATTGCTAATGTTTTGTTCAGGGACACAAATTTAAACCATTCAAATCACGTCTTAAAAGCCTGAAGTGATTATTGAAGAAGGTGTTGCTTTCCAAAACCTTTCCATTTTGCTACTCCATACCCGTACCCCCTTTAATCGTCTAAGATTCAATCTTCAGTAAACAGAGATGATAGAGATCGCACAATTGCCCAAGGTGTTCACTTATGGGAGGATTTACTCTAGTTAACACCCTCTAGCATAAGTAACTTATCAAGCTTTCATAAAATAAGAAAAAATAAAATTAAAGCTTTTAGAAAATACATAGTTTATCCTCAAAACCTCTAACCTTATTGCAATAGACTTCTATGGGCCAAAAAACATCAACTAGCTACAGACAATCAGCTTACCAATTTTGTGCATCAAAAAATTGGGAATCAGTTCCTCTTACCCTAAAAAATTAACGATATAATTCATTTAAGAAACAATGTAAGCATAGTTTATAATGGTCACTTTTATTTCTGTAATGTATTTTCAGTAATGTATTTTTGTTCTCCACATTTACCTTGACATGGTGGTAACCAGCTCGAAAGCCAATGGCTACTCTGGTTACCACACGCATATTTTTTTTTTTATTTCCGTACCCATATGCAAAATTTATTTCTTTTCTCATGTTTACTTTACAACACTGATGTAAATTTTGACATTATGTAAATAGTGCATAACAAATTGATTGATTGATTGATTGATTGATTGATTGATTGATTGATTGATTGATTGATTGATTGATTTGAATAGACAATGGAGTTGGGTAATATTCGTGACCAATATCCTGGTTACTTTTATATCTTTTTATATCTTTTTAGTACAACAATAATTAATATTGTTGACTTTGCTTTAGAAGTTATTTATAGTGTTATGATATCAGAAGAATGTTCCCTTACTGTTTCATTACTTTTTGTTTTAGAAATAGTAAACGAGCGTGATTTGTTACTTCATCAAGAAACTCTACCATCTGCAGTTATACAGGTAAGGCAACTGTTGCGTTCAACTGTATTCATTTTGTGTACGTTTGGCGTTTTTTTTTTTAATTAAAACTTGATATTCATAGCAGAATCAAAGGCAGTGTCGTAACCTTAAGACCCTATTTTCCTGCACCTTCAGTTTTAGTTTTGACTTACCTTAAATTATTGAAATCCTTAGCAGTTGAAAACACTTCCATACAAGAAGAATTATTAGCTTCAATGGACTGGTAAATCCGTCTGGTTCAGGGTTCCTTAATTGGAAACATTAAGACAGTCAAGTGAAGTGGTTTTGGTAGTCTCAAAATCAACTTCTTTGCTGCTCAATAAACCTCTTTCATGTTAACCAATCAGCAATTCTTCCCTTGGTTTTTTCTTGTGATTGGGGCAAAAAGTCAGCCAAATAGAGATACGAATGAATCAGCTGCAACTAAAAAGACAGTGCATTATGAACCATGTACATCTGATTTACCAGGTTAATATATACACAAACTTCGTAATGGCTAATGCTTTGTAACTGACTTTGAACTTATTGGATAATTTTTGAAAAAGTTGAAATTGCAATGAAAAACAGTACCAACTGCAGATAGCTTTTAATGTCAGCAATTAGCAGTCACTTGAGAAGGGCTGCAAGCACAAAGCACAAGGCTGTAATTAACAAATACTAAATGACTTTGCTTACAATATAAAGTTGTTGATGCATGCAGGAGGTTACTGAGCATAAAAGATGCATGGCAGTCACTTTAACCAGAATGCTTCTGCTTTAACTGATAGTCAAGAGTGACTGTAGCTTCTTGATTGCTGCATACCTCCCGCATACCTCCATAACTCAATGGTGCACAGTGTCTTTCTTGTTTGAGGTCGCACAAGCTCTCCAGAATTTAAGATGATATGACAAAGATGGGTGTAATGTAAAATTTGATTGATCACCATCTTTGCCATCTTTGAATCAGAGCACTGCCTGAAATCATGTACATGGTTTAGCATAAGTTCTCAAATAGCTAGTAATCTTGATGCATTTACAGGGAATAAAGAGAAATTATTTGTTCTCAAACCATTTCCTTTTGTTTCCATATACCTTGCTTACTTAACTTAATTTTCTGTGTGCCAGAAGGTCCATAAGCTTGTCAGTATTTCTTGTATGGGATGTTTTATCTTGATTAGTTTCATTACAAGTGCTTTCAGTTTTTTTAACTTCTGGTCCCCACAGATACCATGATGGGCTGAAATTTATTAGAATGTCATGGTTATTTTTTTGTTTGTTTTTGGCAGCAAGCTGGTTTAGATTTGGATTCCATGCCTCCTCTGACACCTACAGAATTGATTGAGGTACAGTCCAGTTTATTTCCGTTATGCAGCCCATCACCAGTGTTTGTCTTACAATTATTGCTTAATGAGCGACGTGTAGATCAATCTGTTAGATCAAGAAAGCCCCGCACATTTTTTGGAAACAGCCCTTGCTGAATATGCAGTTAAAACAAGTCATTGTAGTTAATATCTTTAATACCATGCACATGTTTATTTTCAATATTTCTTTCAGTCATGCATTTTTTTTTCACAATTTTTATACTGTTTAGCTGCTAACAATCATTCCTTCGTTGCTTCTTACCAATGACAATTAGTTTCATTTTACCATTTTGTTTTATGGACTCGCCTATTTTAGTATATATTTACTGTAATAACCTTTTCTAATTTTTGTCTGTAATTCTTGCATGTATACAGCCAGTGGTGGCATTAGGTTGTTAAATTGGGTACTAGCTTCTCTACATTGTTAGGTTCGTAGCAAGAGGGAGCACTTTCCATGTAGTATTTTCAAAAATCAACTTTCCTTTGATTATAAGAATGTTTTTTGAAGCTAGCATTTGGCCAAACAAAACTTTCTTGTGACGTATTTTTCGAGTTCAACATTAAATAAAAGCACTGGGAACCCGGAACTGTTAGATTAAAAAAAAATCATTCAAAGAAGTGCTGCTCTTTACATTTTGGTTGCATGTGGAGGTTCTCTTGTATAGTTATTGCAGATGCTGTAAACGTGCTGCAGCAAGTAGTCCTGTAAAGTGTTGACAAGATAACACGCGTGTATCCGTTCTTGTCATGTTGATCGATGATAATCACTTTACCAGATGAAAGAATAATGATGATTGTGAATGTTGTTGAATGTAATTTTTTGTATTTAAATTGCAGTTGCATATTGGAGATCAAAATTTAGGAGCGAATGAATATGATTTCAAAAAAGCCCTGGATATCCTTCATCTTGCTCTATTGGTAACTGTTCTTTGATAACTTAATTTAAACACTGCAAGAATTCATGGTAATCTCGTAGACGAGATAGACAAATACAAACAATTATTGTCACAATTACCATTTTTTCCTTCAAACAAATCTTGGTGACTTTGTAGTCAAGAGTTCTCTAAAACCTGTTTAACAACCGGGGTCTTTAAAATGGTTATGTGTGTGTGTGTAAATGAAGTGATATTGGTCCCTCCTCATCTCCAGCATCTCAGCACTTCAGTTCTAAAACCCTCAAGAAAGGCCACCAATTGTTTTACCTCTACCAATGTACTCTCCTACAATACTATACCTTGGTGAGATTGGAAGATAATTTTAAAATTGCTTCCTCAAACATTTAAATGTGCCTGAAAAATACCTCTGCTGTAATGGTGCAGTGCCGATATCACAAAGGCCGTGGGTTTGAATCTCGTTCAAGCCTAAATTCTTTTCAGGTTTTAATTTGACAGCTGCTGTCTTTGCATCTTTTTCCGCAGTTCAAATATATGATCTTTCATATAATCTCTTGAGTTCTTTCTTCTGATAACGAGAGATTTGGAAAAATGTTTCAGGATATTGATATTAAAACATGACGTTTCGGCGACGACATAATTTGATAATGGTGACCTGTCGTCGCCGAAACGTCATGTCTTAATATCGCTACTTTTTATCCTGAAAAGCTCTTCACAGTGAAAATGGCCTCGACACAAGTATAAGCACAAGCACAATGATCAAATTTTTCCTTTTTTTGTGCTTGCGTTTGTGCTTGTATTCGCTTTATAACGTGTGAAAACGGAACACCACGGGAAGCACACTTTACAGATTCCACTGCATCTGATCATATTTGAACCAAATGGTGGAGGCCACGGTTGATTTTGATGAAAAGTCTTCCAAGGTTGTTCAGAACTAAAGAATATTGCGTGACAAAGAGTGTGGGGAATTTAAAGACAGAGACAAAAAGGCACAAGCAACTGTGATTTTGTTTTTAAAATAACAAGTGTAAACGGCATAAGGTCTCTCGATGAGCAGTTTATGTTCTTAGAGCAAATACAAAAATATTGTTTCAGTACAAAAAAAAATTGCAAAACAATTATGTGAAATGGACAGAGATACATGAGATTCTTATCTGGGAAAAAATTAGATATTTTTTTCTCTTTTTAAATGACCTTGTTCTTAATTAGTGAATCGGTGTTGCCGTTTTAAATGTACTGCATCCAGTTGAAGTCAATACTGTGCTTCCTGTGACAGTTTTCTAGTCTCCAATTTTCGTAATAACTCCTCCTAGAAAAAAAACCCTCGTGAGAACTGTCAACCGAAACGTAAATTGACTTATATGCAAGCTGTAAGAACTTGGTTTTTCAGTCGCAGGCGCTGATGCTTGCCCCTCTCCACCCCCGTGGTCAGCGCCATTACACTGAATCATCAGCACGTCAAGGATTGTTTGTTTGAACTGCCTTGATTGCAGCATTTATATGTTTTAACTATCAAGAGAGAGAAAAGATCTTTTACAAGGCTATTTCATGTTTACTGGTTAACAAGCATATTAAGTTTCTCACATGTTCTTTTGTTTAATTGTTAATAGACTGGCCATTATGATTTCGATCAAGCTGCGGCCATTAAGCTTCACATCTGGTGCAAAGCTCTACTAAGAGATGAGTATGTTGAAGTAGTCTTAAAATAGCATGAAACCTTAATAATGATTTGACGTACAATGATCAGCCACAGAAGAATCCAGTTTGACAGCTGAGACAAAATTGAGATGGATTTGATTGTGCATAGATCATCTAAAGGTTTTAAAAAGGTATCCCTATTATTTACATTTAGCTGGGATATTATTTATCTATAGTTTGCTACGTTAGTTCCGCGATCACGTTAAAATACCCATGGTGTTTTAAGACTTTTATAGCACAAATGAAAACTACCAAAAATGCACAATTAAATAGCTCAGTTACATTTCATGGAAATTTTGTAACAATTTCATTCGTGGAACTCTTCCTACCTTGATGAATATGTCACAGCATTTTAAGTTGGGATATAAAGATGAGGGCTCTGCTTCAAACTTCGTGTATATATGCAAGAAGGCCAGAAAAGCCAAACAAAATAGAAGTTATTTCTACGTGGCACTGAGATATATATCTTTATACTTTAAACAAAGAAAAAACAAAGAACAATAGAAGTGGTTTCACACAATCTTAGAAGTGCTCAATACAAATACATGCAGAGCGAAATACCAATTACAAATTAAGATAGAAACTATAACTGTTATGGTTTCTATCTTAATTTGTTTTTATATTTAAAGCGGTTTTCAATTGTGTCGAAAGTAATAGACCAATTTCGATATATTAAAATTCAGCCTAACACAATAGACCTCAGCACGAGGCTCTGGGGAATAAACCCCACAAACTCTGTAGTTATTCCCCAGAGCCTCGCACTGAGGTCTATTGTTTTAGGCTGAATTTTAATATATCGAAATTGGTCTATTAGACAATTACTTTCGTTTTGGTTTTGGTTTTACTACGGTTTGAGATTGGCTGAGTAGTCTAATTGGTAAGTAATTGGTTTGGTTTTGGTTTTAAGACACTCAGTTGAAAACCATTCTATACCTTATAATTTTTGTATTTTTTTGAAATAAAAAACTGCATGTGGGCAAAAGTGTGCCGTACTGGTTCCACAACTAACTTATTCAATGCATGATAACGGAAGTGTTTTTTCTTTCTGTCAACAGCTGGTCATCACTCTCAGTGAAAGAGCCTCTGTTGACTGCTAAGAATACAGTTTTTTTCAAGATTGTTGAACTAGCTTACACACAAGGTACTGCACGTATTTCTTTTCTTTTCATTTTTTTGTAGTTTGATCATGAAATACTAACCCACAAATGGTTCATAAATGAAACGAGTTTATACCTCAAATGAAAACTACCCACATAGTAGTGTGCCTCACAGGATTTTCTTCAATGATTCTGATGATGGGCACAGACGTACTTAGCATTAACATTTGTTTGCTATCGTTTAATTGCCCACTGATAAAGGTCAGTTAGTTCAGCCAGTAGTTGCAAGTGTTCAAGACCTACACTTTACTTTGGTACATCGTGGCTAAGAGAACCTTACTCCTTTGGGATTTATTATTTGGTTTGTTCATTTATTATATGACTGAAAAAATTATTTCTTTGTGATTGGCTGAGAGCAGGCCAATTTATCGTTAATCGTTCGAAAGCTCGAACAATTAAGGATTTTACACTGCAAGTGATATTTGAAAATTCTCTCAAATTCCACTCGCCTTAAGGCTCGTGCAATTATGAGGGAATTTTCAAATATCACTCGTAGTGTAAATCCCTTATTGGACTCTCATTCATACGATTTCCTGTACTATATAATTATGAATAAGTAAATTTTGCGATGGCTACAAGTCTGTCGTGTTATTCAAATAACTATATCAAGGTTGCCACAGGTCAGGAAATGCTCAGAAAAAAAAATTCTTTAAAGTCAGGGAATTTTCACATCGATATTCTTACTTAATGGAGAAGGAAAATTTATGGAAATCTTATGAGTCTTATTGAACGAATGGAAAGGAAGGCTGTAAGTTCACAGTAGAAGCTGCTACTAGATCTGACATTTTGCATTATTTGGTCAGGGAAATTGTATTTTTAGCAGGGAAACGTCAGGGAATTTTAATGAGTGATGTCTGTGGCAACCATGGACCTGCCCACGTGACATTTGGCTCAGCAGCCAGGCACTTTTTTCTCTGCTATCCAGAAATGCTGGCGATTGCAGAAAGTAACGAAAATAACCAGTTTCCAGATAACGATTTTTCAATTGGAAGAGACAAACTTCATTGTACTTCCTTCACGATTCGATTGTCAGGCAAAGTCTTCATTTCTTTTCTTTCACAAACCTACATGATACTGGTGGTAAGTTAGGGCGCGACAAAGGCTAGCATATTTTGAGTTCGAAAGCGATCGAAATAGTTAACGAATGATTAAGAGCTCCAGATGATATTTAAACACAAGAAAGGGAAAAGCAAATGCTTCCTTTCGGTAAGTGATTTCTTGACATAAACATACGTTTAAAGGAAAGACAATGAAAAAGAAAACTTGCGAGACAACCTCAGATAGTGCAGAGTGTAATGTATAGCTCTGACGCAGTACTCATAACACAGTTCCTATATAACCCCTGTCATTCACACCTGGTTTGTATTGACCTTGCTAGTCAGCTAGGGATTTTGACGAGACATAATCTTAGCAGTGTGTATGTTTGATGTGTGTATTTTCATTCACAGTCCAAGAATAACTTACAGTTAATTACCGCTTGTCAAGACAGCTCTCGAAGTTTACTGTAGTGTTTTACGTCGATTTTTGCTCATTTTAAATTAAATAATACATTTAGGCAGCAAACGTGATAATTTTACTCTTCACGAAAACGTTTGTAACTTGATACTTTTGTTTTCCTTGCAAAGGTATGTAACCTGAAACTCTTGTTTTCTCGAAAACACACGGAAGATGTGCTTGTATTCTTTTCACAGCTAGAGATAAATGGGAGAAGTTGAATGTCGGAGGAAGAAATGGAAGAGGAACGATTTGCTTTATTTAAAACGCAAATTTTCTTTTGACCGATAAACAAAAATTAATCTAATTATCAAATTGTCACGGAACAGCACGTTCTGTTGCCACCTTTGGCGTTAACAATAAAACCACTTAAATTTAAAATACACACTGATATCGATTAATACAACTGAAAAGCGTTTCAACGAGAGGTATTGAAAGTAAACAGCGCTACTTGACCGAGATTATATCCTTCATCGGTGAATGAGTCCACTCAGAGACTGATAAAATTTATGCTTTCAGTAGGTGCCATGGAGTCTGCAGCAATATTTGAGCAGTCTCCTGGGTTTTTTGTACAATATGACAAGTTTTAATGCCACTTACTCGGGAGAGTTTCGGTTGGGGGTATGAACATTTTGGTCTCTTTGATAGAGACAATTTAAGGATGAAATAAACGCGCTAGTGTAGTTTGAAAACAACTAATGATATTTCTTGAACCAAGTTAGGCGTTATTCCAAAAGACACCCAGTCACCCTAGCATTCTTGTATCGTGCTAACGATGCTAGAACGCATGCGTATGACTTATTAGCGTTTTACCACAAGGAAAAGCGCTCAACGTTAGTGTGTGATCTTGTATGAAATGTATCTCTCACCAGATATGTAGTTGACACTAACGCTTATTAATCTGCGCATGCGTTTAGGGCAAATATTGGTTTTGTTCTAAAGAGAAAAGTACCACAAGGAGAGCAAGGGGCTTTCTGAAACAAATACATAGCTTTTCGAAATAGTCAGGGAAGTAACGTAGGTACGTGCACCTCCCATTTTACATAGTGCTCACAGGTACTTACCTCATCCTACCCCCTTTACTACAAGCCTAATTAATTAATTGAAGTTAATTAATTATACAAACATTAAAGTTTACACCTTATTTCCATAGTGCTTTAGCCACGTCAACCCCCAAATCATCCCAATAGTGCACTCTGCACTAAAAAGTACTGCCTGTGGGATTTGAACCTACTTACTCACATACAAGAGACAACTGATAAACTAACTGCGCCACATCTACAATGTTCTTGGTGGTACGCAGTTCACACAAGCTAAGCGACTAGCGACAGTAGAGCTTATGTCACAATGTGAACATCAACATAAAAGCATACGGATAATTTTCCTTTAATATGTCGTTGTGATTCAGAGCCAACTTAAATTTTCGAAAATTTAAGGTGGCTCTGAACCCTACCTACAGAATTGTTTTAAACTTTGCCAAAAGTTGCGTCTTATCATGCTTACCAAAAGTTGATAATATAAAAAAATTTCACCGTGCCGTTTTTGAATTATAAGCCCCTAAAGCTGTAATTAAGGGTGTTTTTAAGAGGTCATACTGTTGCTATGGTAACCTATTGTGTCACGAAAATGATAACAACGCATTCACCATTGATTGGGCAGTTTTTTGATACCATGACTGTAGCATCAAGTGATAAAGAGTGGTTATAACGACCCATCAAAATCTAAGTGCTGGAAACTGTTTTGAGCCACCTCAAGTATGTGGCAGATTCCGTCGCCGAGTATATAAATCAACTTATTTCGTAAAGAGGCAGTATCCAACTTTGAGCTGGGTCAGTATCAAAACAAGTTAGCGGACAATCAGGTGGCCTGTACATTGTACGGATTACAATTGACTTGAGGTTTCTGACCTGAAGATTAATCCAAAGTTGATGTTAAGTGTCCAAAATGATTGATATGTTGTCAAGTACCCTGACCTTGTAAGTTTGCTGGACGTAAACACCCACCCGCCGCCTGGTTTGGTGTTTGGATCGACCCGATAGAGATCATAGCTTGGGATTTCGAGTTCCCGGTCGGTGATGGAGCCGTTTAGCCAGGTCGAGCCAGGTCTTCGATAGGGTGAACACGTCGAGCTTATTCAATAAGATGGTATCTTTGACGAAATGAAGGTGCTCGCGGTTCTTGAGGGAGCGAACGTTTAAATGTCCAATCTTAAGATCACCACTGTTTTATTTTATTGTGTTTTTTTTTTTTTT